TGGCGAGACGGTAGCGCGGGACACATTTTATTGGGGCCCCTGCATTCTATTCGCTCTTTTCTCCTTCCTTTCCCTTCTCCTCTTTCTCTTTTGTGGTATTATCAGGGACTGAACCCAGGGTTTTGTGAATGCTAGACAAGTTCTTTACCACTGGGCCCTATTGCCAGCCCTAATTTACTTACTTATTAGTATTTATTTATATAAGGCTTCACTATCTATCTCAGTTGGTCTGGAGCTTATCCTGCTGCCTCTGCTTCTCAGTGCTGTATGAGAGGAATGAGGCACCAAGCCCAACTTTCATTTATTTCTTTAAAAAGTTTTAAAATTTACTTTTGTTATTATTATTATTACTCATGTGTGTATGTGTGCACACAAGCCATGGCAATGTGGAGGCCAGAGAAGCACTTCCTGGAGTTGGCTGTCTCCTTACTCATTTATGCGGATTGCATGGCAAGGGCCTTTCCCACTGCACCACCTCACTGGCCCTCACTGAACTCTTTCCAAGGCTCTCTCAGGCCGGTGAGATGGCTCAGTGGATAAGGGTCCTTGTTGACAAGATTGATGATCTGAGTTCCATGCCTGGGGCCCTACATGATGGAAAGAGGACAGTCTAGGCAGTTGTCCCCGATCTCACACATGTGCATGACATACTCTGCTCCCTCTAAATAAATGGTAAAAGCAACAACAAATTCTCTCAAGTATATGTGAAGGCAGCTGTTGTCTTTTGCCAGATCCCAGATCTACTCTGCTGCCTTCTGGGCATCTCTCATTGTCTTCCGGGACAGACCCCTAAGTCTTTGGGCTCTTCACAGTCTCTCTTCAGCTTTGCTTTCCACTGAATCTCCTCGTTTTACTGTATGAGTTTGCTCAGGCTGAGGGAAGAGTCTGTTCACGCTGTTCTCCCTGGCTTGCATATGCCTATCAAGGTCACAGGTTCATATAGGCATTCTCTGTGTGTGTGTGTCCATGTCCAGCTTTCCCTTTAAAGGACTCTAGTTATATTAGGAGGTTAAGGTTTATTTCAATGGCTTCATTTTAATTTGATTACCCCTGGGGGAAAAGGTATCTGCTCCAAATAAGGCCATACTACGAAGTACTAGGGGACAGGACTTAACATATGAATCTTGAGATGACAATTCAAGTCACAACACACATAATGAATAGTCTCAGTTCTATAAATTCACATATTCATTCATGTATCAATTATTAGAAGTCCACACAATTGTGGGCTCCCCCAGGTACTTCTATTCCCCTTGTCTTTGGTAAGTCAGAATCTCAGTTCCTCTGACTAGGGAAAACCCTTCACAATGCCTTTTACTCGTCTGCTTTCCTAGAGCAGATGGCCTTCTGGCTATCTTCAGGACTCACTTCTAAGTCCTCTACTCAAAGCCTAAATGGCTCCTTTCACAAGAGATTTTCCCTGTTTTTATCAACACGCTTAATTCTCTCACAGAACTCTGTCCATACTTGATTACAGCACCATAACATGGTATTACACTTGCTCTAGTTTTTGTTTTGTTTGACACAAGGTCTCACTATATAGCCCTGATTACCATGAAACTCACTGAAAGGTAAAACTGGAAGGGAGAGCACTCAGAGACAGAGACCAGGAAGACCACAGTGGTTAAAATCTAGACATGAAGTAACAAAGGCCTGAAGCAGGGGAGTAGAAATGGATGGCAAGAAAGGGAGAGCTGCAGAAATGTGAATGGGTGGCTTACAGGGCAGAGAACATAAAAGGGTGGGAGGTATCAGGATTAAGAAGCTTCCAAGGGTAAGAGCTCAACAGGATAGTGATAGCATTAACCCAAACAGAACAGTGCATTACATTAGCACCTGTTGCTACTAGCAAAATAAGTATCCATTTAAATAAGTTAAAGTGGACTTTCCTTCATTGTGCTGACATGGATGCACAGGTTGGTTCACTTCCAAAGAGTGGTTCAGAGACCACAACATCTCCTTGAATGGGCCTCCAAGAGCATCTGCTTCACATACATCATTGTCTAGTAAGTAATGAGTAACACTTCCAGAGGTTTCCATTGATAATGTGAATTATTTAACATTTTAGGGAAGTACTAACTTGGAAACTTTTAATTTATCTCCAAACTATTGGGGTTACATTGTTGATATAACACCACTTTTGCTTAAAACCTATTAGCTAGATTTCAGACAGAAGTCTAACCCAGAAAACTGCAAGGGAAGCTGGGAAACATAGCCTAACTGGGTACTAGGGAAGGAAAGAGCACGCACTTGTTAACTTTGTATTCTGTTTGTAGCAACTGTGTTGGTTTTAGACATGAGGAGTCCTACGTAACTCTGAACTCACTGTGTACAGGTTGGTCTCAAATTTGTCCTCGTGCCTCAGCTTTAGCTTTTCATTTTCCAGTTTGTGCACCAACATGTGCAATTTGTTTTTAACTGCTAGTTATAAGAGAATATTCTGAGTTGGTTCTTACAAAACAACAAAGGAAGCTGAACCATTTGGAAAATTCACCTGGGCCTACTGTGTTGGTACACACTAGTACTTCTAAGCACTTAAGAGGTTGCAGCAGGAGGATGGTGAATTCAGTAACATCCTAGGCTATATAGCCAGTTTCAGGCCACCCTGGACTCCAGAGCAAGACCACACTACTAATATTGTAATACTAACAGCAACAACAACCACCTGAATTTCTTTAAATAATCCTGCTACATTAGAAAAAACTCAATTTACATATAAGTATTATACTTAGTACAAAATAGGTTTTGTATACAAAACAAAAATATTCTATCATTATTAGAATGGAAAGTTGCAAGTTTTCTTATTATGGTTGGAGATATTTGCAAATGGAGCCCGAACCTAAGAACCAGACCATGCTTGGCAGGTGCTCAACCACTGAGCTCTAGCTCCAGTTGCAGTTAGATGTTTTTATTTGCCTTAGAATCGATTTTTTAAAAGTTATGATTGATGACATACACTCTAAACCTGATATCTTGTTGGCAAAGGGCTTGGGTGGATGTTTATAGCACATTTTTACAAATGTGGGTCTCATGCCTTTCCCCCCAGCTATGCTTATTACATTGTAGCCTAAATTCTGTCTCTCTTGGCTATTATGTGATAAGTTTGCAGACACCTTCACAGCACCAGTTATATCCTGAGGCCAAACAAAGAAGATCACCTAACTCACTTTGGGTCCCTTAGGTAATTTACTCAGGCCCCATTAGCTGACATCAAAGTCAAACTAAAGAGAAAGAAACACCAGCAATATAAACCCCAGTAGTTGGGGGTAAATTAAAAAGCTCCCAAATCAGTACTTTCCTCAAATGTTAAATAATTCACTGTGGCATTACAGATACAAGCCTCTAGCAAAAGTTACACTTGAATAATTATGGAAGCAGGAGACAAACAAATTGACTTCAGTAGTACAGAAACAAATTGGTGGTGTCTCAAATGCCTATGCCAAATTACTTTTCTACATTAGCAAGTGAGTAAAACACCCAGACAACTGATGAATTACTAGATCAAGTTTGATTAGAGAAAGTGGCCTAGAAGTATGTATCAGGATCACTCCTAAACATAATAGAGATTCTACCAGTTCAAGTATAAAACGTCTAGATTATTTGAAAAGATTTCCGGTCTTTGAGACAGGGCTCATTCTGTAGCTCAGGCAGGTCTCCAATGGGATCCTCCTGCCTCAGTATTCCACATGTTGGAACTAGAGGCACGTATTCCTATGCACAGCCTTACCTGGAAAGGTGTTGGTGCCTGATGTGCACCTATTATCTTACCAAAATCTACTCAGACTGCTTAGAGTCTATATGGCAAAGATGAACAATATAGTTGTTGCAGAGGGAAAGGGAAAGTAGAACCCTGAGCAAACATCATCGGGTAACCACATACATATGGACAACAGCCCCTGAATTACAGAACCCTTACCATCTAGAAGAAAAACAGGACTTCAATTTAATGTTGTCACCACCTATCCAGGAGATTGTTTATGCTAACTTCTGTAACATGAAAACCATTCAGTTATGAACAACTCTTCCATATGGAATGGCACTTTAAAAAGGCTATGAGAAATAATAAAAATATGGCTGGTGTTCATCTTATCCACATGTGCAGAGTTACCTAGATGTACAAGCAGACAGTTGACAACAAGGGCAGGATCAAAGTCAGGAAGCTGGAAATCAGTGGGGTTCCTGATAGGATGGAGATGTGTGACCCATTTGCTTTCCATTCCAATGGGTTGCTTATAATCACTCTAAACCTTTGTATATACTTTTTTTCCTCTCATAACCTAAGCTAAATTTGGTCAAGAATTTTCTATAAGATGCATAAGGCAAAGTCTTGAGCTTAACACAGAAGCAGTGTGGAGAAGATAGATATCCATCTAAATAGATTTTCATTTGTAAGCTTGTCAGACATTCTCACCAGTGTATCTTAAGGCAACACACCAATTCAATGTCTAGAGTAACATACAAGAGAAATGAAATATTTGAAAGAGAGAAGACAGGTGGACAAGGGGATCTGGAGTCAGAACTTCCAGCATTTGCTGCATGTAGCCTGAGAAAATGTTTCAGAGTTTGGGATTTGTTTTTTCAAGAGCAGACAACTCTTCTAGTAGTATTAGAAAGATTATGTAACTCACAAAATGACTATTACCTAACAACATAATCATAAATCAATTCAAAATGATCAGAAACTGAAATCAATCCCAGCACATCCCTTCTACTGAAAATACTTACATAAAAGGGGAAAGGGTGTGCTAAAAGATGCAGGCTGTGGTGTGCATACCACTGAGTGCATATGTGGAGATCAGAGAATAGCTTTGGGAAGCTGTTCTCTCCTTGTACCATGTAGGTTCTCGGGTACCAAACTCAGGTCATCTGGCTATTCAAACAGGAACGGTTACTGCTGAGCCACCGGAGAGGCCTCAACTCTGTTTTCATTTGACTTAGAATCAGAATGACTGGGGCTGATCAGTGACTCACAGTCTAGAGAGCAATGTGGGAACACTTACCATGAGTATATCCCACTGACCATGTCGTAGTTCTGACATGGAGAGTTGCCCGTGCTGGGCCCGGCTGCTTTGGAAATGAGCAGGACCACCAGGCCCCGCAGTTGGAGGTTATGCCGGCTGTCATGCACAAGGCCCCTGGTAACAAAGAGAGAAGAGGATTAACACACTCCCCCATGAGTGGCCAGATCAAGCTAGACGATGGCTACAACAATTCTCAAATTTCTAAGACAGAACAATGGGTTTTTTCTAAAATAAAGAGAATTGTAGGAGGAAAGAATAAGACAGCAGGAGAACTTAACAGTTTTTAAAGTGACAATCTCAAAGTGGGCCTGACAATATGGCTCCCTTCTCTTTCTGGGTCCTCCCACTGGCTAACCCCTAAGTCACACTCTTTCATTTTTCTTACTGACACAGATTGGAACTTGTGGCTTTGCGAATGCTCAATAAGTTCTCTACCACCGTGCTACACTCCAAGCTCTCCTTCACCAACCACATTTGCTTTGACATCAAAAGGGGGACTAAACCTGCTAGGTCAAACTGCAGCAGTGGGCTCCAGGGCCAGAGGGGTCTGTACTTGACAAGCTATTTGTCATTCACCAGAGGCTGACATCTTGCTCCATAGAATGAGCAATAGCAGTAGTCATAAATGGATGGTCAATGTGAATAAAGTGTGGAATGCCATGGTAGCATGTGACAGGGAGTAAGCTACATTCTCTTTGTACTGGCAACCTATCCCCCCCCCTTTTTGTTAAACAGTTTCCTTCTTCTACTTTCAATTCCTATATCAACAAGTCTTCCCGAAGTCTTTATTTTTTATCTTTTCTTCTTTCTTCCTTTTTTTTTAAATTCAAATTAGAAACACGCTTTTTTCACATGTCAATCCTAGATCTCTCTTCCTCCCCTCCTCCCCACCAGGCCCCCACCCATTATCCACTCTGATCCTCCATGGAGGATCTCCAGAGTGTGTCATTTCATCCAGGGCAGGGTCTAGGCCCACCCCCATGAGTCCAGCCTGAGAGAGTATCCCTCATTGTGGGATGGGCAGCCAATGTCCATTTGTATGCCAGGGATAAATACTACCAAAGGCCCCCATAAATTACCAAGGCCTCCTCACTGACACCCACATTCAGGGGGTATGGATCAGTTCCATGCTGTCCACCCTGCCATCAGTCTGGGTTCCAAGAGCTCCTCCTTGTTCATGTCAACTGTTTCTGTGGGTTAAACCAGCCCAGTCTTAACCACTTTGCTCATCTATTCTCCCTTTCTGTCACTGGATTCCAGGAGTTCAGTTCAGTGTTTAGCTATGGGTGTCTGCCTCTGTTTCCATGTGTCACTGGATGAAGGTTCTGTTTCCCAGATTCTCTGGCAATGAGATTGTAGGCTGGCACTCCCCTGATTCATGTCTAAAATCCATATATGAGTGAGTACATATCATGTTTCTCTTTTTGTGACTGGGTTACCTCACTCAGGATGGTTTCTTCTAGTGCCATCCATTTGCCTGCAAATTTCAGGACTCCATTGTTTTTTTCCACTGGATAGTATTCCATTGTATAAATGTATCACATTTTCTCTAGCCACTCTTCAGTTGAGGGGCATCTAGGTTGCTTCCAGGTTCTGGCTATTACAAATAGGGCTGCTATAAATGTAGTGGAACAGACATCCTTATTGTACGAATGTGTATCTTTTGGATATATACCTAAGAGTGGAATTGCTGGGTCTTGTGGTAGACTGATTCCCATTTTCCTGAGGAATCTCCATACTGATTTCCAAAATGGCTGTACGAGTTGCCACTCCCACCAGCAGTGGAGTAGAGTTCCCCTTTCTCTACATCCTCTCCAGCATAAATTGTCACTGGTGTTTTTGATTTTAGCCATTCTGACAGGAGTAAGATGGTATCTCAGAGTTATTTTGATTTGTATTTTCCAGATGACTAGGGATGTTGAGCACTTTCTTAAGTGTCTCTCAGCCATTTTAGACTCCTCTACTGAGAATTCTCTATTTAGTTCTGTATCCCACTTTTTAATTGGATCCTTTGGTGTTTTGGAGACTTGCTTCTTGAGCTCTTTGTAAATTTTGAAAACCAGTCCTCTGTCAGATGTGGGGTTAGTGAATATCTTTTCCTAATCTGTGGGTTGACTTTTTGTCTTGCTGACTGGCTCTTTTGCCTTACAGAAGCTTCTCAATTTCAGGAGGTCCCATTTATTAATTGTCGATCTTAGTATCTGTGCTACTGGAGTTATGTTCAAGAAGTCTCTATCTCCACTAACACCCTTAAAAACAGCACTGGGATGAACTGATTGAAACTTCTGAAGCTTAAATATTCATCCACAACCAAAAAGAACAAGTCTTGCTTCTGGGCATAAGAACATTGGAATTCTCAATGAACAGAGCTAATCTTACATACTATATCCCAGGTCATTATGGGACACTTGGAACTCGGTTCTCTAAAATGGGATACTGGCAAGTTGAGCCTCATCCAGAGGCTAGCAAAAGTTCTACTTTGGATTAGGGATCCTCTGTCAGCCTAAACTCTATGCAAATACTCCCAAATTTGAAAGACCCTAAAATGGGAATCATTTCTGATCCTAAACATTTTGATAGATGATACTCAACCTGTATTGCAACATGTGTAGCTGTCAGATAGGAAAATATTGATGTTGGTGTTCTTAATTTTATTCAGTCAAAAACGCAGTGTCAGGAAGAAGTTATGTGAGGAAAAGTGTTCTGGAGAGAAGTGAAGGTGTGAGGTGAGGCAGAAAACATGGCAGGAGCAGACTGAGGGGAGGAGCTAGAGAATGAACACTAATCACTTAAAGGTTTCCATAGGGAGAGGAAAAGGCTCCACAGGCTTTAAGACTGACATGGAGAAGCCTCAGCAGGCTCTGGTGATGCCTAACCTTTGTTGTTAGAAATCTTTGAGGTGACACAGCCTCTGCCATGTTCCACAGAAGCCTGGGCTATTTGATATCTAGAAGTTTTCCTTATTCTGAATAACTTCATTTTACTATATTATTTGATAACCCCACAAGTATAGCAAATATGAAAGTGAGAAGTTCTTTACTATTACCAGTGTTGAAAATGAAAACAATACTTAGTATTATGTAGCTCTCATCACTAAAACTCTGCGGAACTGTTTATGTTTAGTTGAGATGAACACGTTTCACCACTCCCATATTCATCCACCTGTGAATGCTGGAACCTTTTATACATGAAGCACTGTGCTAGGTACTGGGCTATAGTAAGCAAAGCAATGGAGCTTAGGATCTAGCAGAAGAAATAATCAATAATAAAATGCAAAATCACAATAGTAATAAATGCTTCCAGGAACAAAGAGAGAATATCATAAAAATTCATAACAGAATTATCTACATCAGGAAAAACAGGCTTCCTTGGAGAAGTAATGACTGAGCTGACATTCAAAGGAAGAAAAGATATAAAAGGAATATGAGAAGGGTAAGAAGACTGTTCACAGCACAAGAATGACTTAGAGGCACACACTTAGGGACTAGACTATGCAGGTTCAACATTCTGTGGCAAGAGGTTTGCTCTTTATCCAAAGAACAATGGGAAGGTACTATAGTATTAAAGCAAATGAAAAATGAAACAAAACACATATCTATCATTGTTGTAGAAAGATGATATGAGGGGGCGGGCAGGGGATATAACCAAGTGGTATAAGGTATCTGAAGATGTGGCCTGGCCTTTGTAACACTCAGTGAGAATTACTGGACTAGCTTTATGCACATCTAGAGATGGGTCAAACCTAAAATAACATTTTAACTCCATTCAAGTAGATACTGCACTTTTTACAGTCCTAGAATATTACTTACTATGAATATATAACCAATTTTAAATATTACTCATTCTGAAAACTCTGTAAATTATATTTGGGGGTAAAAACCAAGCCAAACCAGCCAAACAAGAAACCCAACCCATTCTAAAATGGGTTGCCCTGAAATTCATTGTTTAGCCCAAGTGGGCTCTGACCTGAGACAATTCTCCTGCCTCTGCCTTTCAATTGCTGGGATTACAGGTGAAAGCTAGATGCCCAGCTTGGTTGAAAAGCTTTGCTTCTTCCAAAATTCTAGTGTAGATCTGCAATGACTGACCAATGTGAGGAGGACTGAAGTCCTAATAGGTGGGCTGAGAAGATGACACTTTGGGCCAGGGAGCCGCCACACATTAGAAAGCTGTCTCGCTTAGTTCTGTTCTACTACCACACCTTTCCACAACTATTAACTCATTTCTCTTCCTTAATGCAACCCTGCATCTCAAGTTCTCAAATCACTGCTATGCAATTGTTTTAAAAGTACGTTCTCTTAAATTTTGTTTTATTACAAATGCATTAAGATGGAGGGCATACAAAGAAACAGCTATTACAGGAAGCTGATAATATATTTTAATACATACTCAATAATATAAAGGACAGAAAACAAAAGCAGCAGAGTAAAGGATAACAGCACACAGAGAAAAGCTTCTTACTGGAGGTGTCCCTCACTATCCAGACTGAAAGATGAGTAGAGAATGGGAAGACAGGGAGGCTGGGGTCCATTATTATGGTGAGGGAGAGAAGCAGGAGAAGCAGGGACAAGAAGGGATTGGGAGTGGGTTCAGAATCTGTGGGACTATCCATGTAGGCATGAGAGTCTCATAAACAAGTCCAGTAAAGCAGACAGCCACAGGACGCAGCATCTCGGAACTCAGGTGTAGTCTGTACTTCTGCAAGCAATCTGGGGGTTTGGACAGTTTGTCAGTGAGATAGGAGCGCAATTAGCACTAAAGACTAAAACCATTCACTGGGTCTAATACCATGGTGATGGCATGTTGGGTGCAGAGGAAATGAGAGGGAAGACCAGTAGGGAGGCACCTCATCCAGCAGCCTGGGGAGAGATAATGAGGGCTTCAATTAGGGCAGTGACAATAGGGATGAAGAATCGCTGCGATCTCAGGCAGCAGCATGGAGGTGGCAATGGGTACTAGGGCCCACTGACCAGATGAAAGAGACACGGAGAGAGAAGAGAAAAACAAAGGAAAGGCAGTGACTGAGTTTAAGAGTCAAACCTGCTTGTTAAAGGTAAAGATGCTACACTTAGTAGAGATTGGAAATAAATCTGAGAGGGAATTGGTATTTAATT